GGAGATCTGGCCTGCTTTGACCTCTTCCATTCCCAGCCCCACTCCCTTGCCCCCTAAAGTTGCCCACCTTCTAGCCCCTGGGGGCTGGGGTCCCCTTGTCCCACAAGGAGCCCTCTTAGGGGGCACCAGCAAAAACTCAAACATGCCCCCTTCCTCAGAGTCCTGTTGACCCTTGAGAAACTCACAGGGCAGAGCCGTCCCTCCCCAGCTGTGCACACATCTAGCCAGGGGTGGGGCAGGTGGGTAGGATGCTGGCCTTCCCCTTGCAGGCATCCCACATTTCTGCAGGGGAGTCTCTGAGAGCCCCTCACTTCACTTGTGCGGAGCAATCAGTAGTCAGAGTCAGAAGGGTGGTGGATGGACGGGGTAGACGAGCCTGTTTCAACCATCTCCATTAGGATGTTTGCTTCCCCTGCCCTTGACAGTGGCCTCCTTCCACAGGGGGGTGCCCGGTACCTCTTTGTTCTGTTTTGGATCCTGGTAGGCAATACCTGGAGAACAAGAACAGTCAACCACCCGTTTTACAGATGAAGAAATGGAGGCTCCGAGAGGCAAAGTCAAGGTCCCATAGGTAGTAAAGGGCAGAGCTGGGATTTGAACGGGGTGGTCTGGCACCAGAGCCTCACCCCGTTGTCTTTGGAGCGGCTCCTCAGGAGCAGCCCCTGAAATGAGGACCTGGGTACAACCTGTGTGTGAAGGAGATCTTCCGGAGGAAGCCAGTAAAGGAATGGGGAGAGCAAGGTGAGGAGAGAGGCCGTGAAAGGGTCTGTCGCCCTGCAAGGGAGGCTGCAGCCCCATCCTGCAGGGACTCTGAGCTTTCCAACCCCAAACAAAGGGTCATAAATTCAGCCCCAGTTCCCGGAGGGTGGCTTCCCCAGAAGGAGCCACAGTTGCTGCCAGCTGGGAGCCGAGCCATGGGGCAGGGGCTGTGGGTGCACAAAAACCAGAGAAAGCCATCCAAAGGCATGAGGGGGTCAGTGGAGCACTCACGCTGTCCTCCAGCTCCCCAACCTCCCCTCCCCGCTCCCGCTAACACCTCCTGGTAGGCACTTCAGCCCAGAGTCCAGCCCCTGCCTCTGGGAGCACCTGAAACTCCCCAACTCCAGCCAGCAGACCCTCCTCCAGGAAGCCCTCCATAATTCCATGCCATCAGCCCTTGCAGGCTCTGCCTTGGCTGCCTAAGCCAGAGAAGAGAGGTGGGAGCCAGCTTCCAGGACAGGGACGCTGCAGGCTGGGACCAATGTCCTGCAGAGCCCCCCTCCCCCCATGTCCCTGCCACGGCCCAGACATCTCTGCTCCTCCAGGCTCCATGGTTTTGTGCAAGCTGCACACCCCTCCCTCTGCCACAACACCCTCCTCCTGGCACCCCTCCTGGCTGGCTCCCCCATCAGCTCTCCTGTGCAGCCCCTGACCCCCACAGAGCTCACCGGAACTCCTTTTGTGCTTTGGAAGAGCATGAGCCTCAGCGTCAGAATAATGGGGCTCAGACCCTGACTGCCGGCTACTGGCTGCGTGCCCTGGGCTAGTGACTTCCTGTCTGTGCCTCAGTTTCCTCATCTATAAAGTTGAGCCATGGATTCCTTCCTCTTTATGTCAGTGTGAGGATCCTGTCTGTGCAGTCATACCAGGTGAGGGGGTGGGGGACAAGAGCAGTTGCGGGTGCTAATGCCCCCCCCCCCCCCCGCTGCCCATCAGCCTTGTGCTTGGGTGAGGGGCTTTGGGACTGGTTTCCATCCAGCTGGGAGCTCCCAGAGGGCAGGGATGGAATCTTTTTTTTTTTTTTTTCTTAAATAGTTTATTGTCAAGTTGGTTTCCATATAACACCCAGTGCTCATCCCCACAAGTGCCCTCCTCCATGCCCATCACCCCCTTCCCCTCCCTCCACCCCCATCAGTCCTCAGTTTGTTCACAGCATATTCAAGAGTCTCCCATGGTTTGCCTCCCTCCCTCCTAATCTTCCTATACGTGCAAACATATGATATTTGTCCTTCTCTGCCTGACTTATTTCGCTCAGCATAACACCCTCAAGGTCCATCCAGGTTGCTACACATGGCCAGATTTCATTTTTTCTCATTGCCATGTAGTATTCCATGGTATAGATAAACCACATCTTCTTGATCCATTCATCTGTTGATGGACACTTAGGCTCTTTCCATGTTTTGGCTATTGTTGAGAGTGCTGCTGTGAACATTGGGGTACATGTGCCCCTGTGCATCAGCACTCCTGTATCCCTTGGGTAAATTCCTAGCAGTGCTATTGCTGGGTCATAAGGGAGTTCTAGTGTTAGTTTCCTGAGGAACCTCCACACTGTTTTCCAGAGGGGCTGCACCAGTTTACATTCCCACCAACAGTGTAGGAGGCTGCCCGTTTCTCCACATCCTCGCCAGCATCTAGAATCTCCTGATTTGTTCATTTTAGCCACTCTGACCGGCATGAGGTGGTATCTCAGAGTGGTTTTGATCTGCATTTCCCTTATGATGAGGGACGCTGAGTATTGTTTCATGTGTCTGTTGGCCAAGGGATGGAATCTTAATCCCACCTCTGTGCCCCGGTGCTTGGATGGTATAGACATGCATTAAATGGATGCTCAGCAGAAGAAAGGAATGGAAGAATGAATGAATGAATGAATGAATGAATGAACGAACGAACGAACATCTCAGCTCCATAAGGGCAGAAACCATCTTTGTCTGGTTTGCCACAGTGTTCCTAGTGCCCAGAACAGTCCTGCACATAGTAGGTGCTGCGCGAATGCTTTGGAGTGCATCAGGAAGAAACGGTTACTTAAATGAATGGTAAAGGGTGTTCCCGGTTACCCTCTGGAGGCGGAGCCCTCTTCAGTTCAGCCCAAGAATTCAGTCCAGCAATTCCAGCTCATCAGTTCGGTTTGTCATCCCTTCAGCAACTTCTGCAAGCCTACTATGTGGTAGGCCCTGAGACTGCGTCACGATGGGGCCGGTCCCTGCCCCCCCGCATGTGCTCTTACTAGACAGCCAGTGCTAACTGCTCTAATACAGTAGAGGTCATTCCACAATGCTGACAGAGCACCTTCCAGGTGCCAGGCACTGTTCTAGGCTCTGGGGACAGAGCTTTTCCTTGCTATGGTCTCTGTGCTCATGGGCTCACATTCCCAGAGGGATTGGATGCTTCGAAACACAAGAATGTCAGAGAGTGACAGCTGCTGTGAAGGAAGCTTGATGGTGGGGGCAGGGAGGGCCTCTCTGAGGAGGTGACCTTGAGCCGAGACCTGAATGCCACGGTTCAGGAAGATCTGGGGATGGTGTTCCAGGTGGAGGGGATCTCAAGGACAGAGAATAAGTGGGCCATTTGGGGAGCAGCAGGGAGGACAGAGTGGCCAGAACAGGGGCCAGGCTGGCGTGCAGGGTGAGGGGCTGGCTCTCGTCAGGTGTGATGGCAGGAAGCCAGTGGCAGGTTTTCAGCAAAGACGGTGGGGGGAGAGGGGGGTGCTGCGTGCCAGGAGGCTGGGCCCTTTTGTGGTCCTGGTGAGAGAGGGGGGTGCCCCCTCCTGGGCAGCAGTGGTGGGGATGGAGACAGATACATCTGGAAGGGAGGCTGGAGAGAGCCAGCCAGTAGGACTTGCTGGTTGGGAGGGTTGGGGGAAGGCAGTGCTCAGAGAAAACTGGAGTTTTGGTTGGTACAGCTGGGTGGACCATTGCATCATTTTCTAAAATTGGAGAAGTGGAGGAAGATGGGCCCGAGTTTCCTGGAGACACCTGTCGGACATCCGTGAAGGGAGTCGGAAATTCAGCGTGGGGCTCGTGCAGAGTCAGGGCTGTGGGTGCACTGTGGGCGGCTCGCTCGCCTCCGGATGAGATGCCCTGGGAGAGACGAGGGAGATGAGCAGAGGATGGGGACGGTGGGAGGGAAGCCCAAGTGGGCGTGGCCTGGGGAGGGCCGGTGCCCCTGAGAAGCCAATGAACCCCTGGGCTTGGCCAGGCAGTCGAGGGCTGCCTCGGGAAAGGCTGCCTGAAATGGGTGGAGGGAAAATGGGAGTCGGGAAGTAGAGGTCGAACACAGCTCTACGTGTAGCCTGGAAGGGGCCGGAGGAGTGGGCACGGAGCTGGGGGTAAGCAGGGGGTCAGGAGTTTGGGTAGCAGGGGGCTGATGCATGGGTGAGGGGCTCGGTGAGAGGGGCAGGGAGCGGGGCTGCAGGCAAATGACCCGAGTGGAGAGGCATTGCTGCACACACCACACTGGCGGCCAAGAGGGAGACACGGACAGACAGACAAACCGGACGACCAAAGGAGCAGAGAGAGTGCGGAGCTCCTGGGGCAGGGGGGGGAGGGGGGAGGGCAGGGCCAGGTCCCAGCCCCCTGTTGGGAGGGCTGGCCTTAGGATGGGAGGGGAAGCAGATGGTGTGGGCAAAATGCGGGCAGGGTAACGATTTGAAGAAAAATGAGGCGCAGCCCTCCAAAGTCTTCTGGATCTCAATGAGGGGTGTCAGTGTTGCCGGTTTGAGAAGGAAAGACATCTGAGGGAGTCAGCCTGGCGGGGAGCAAACTTAGCGGGGATGGGAGACGTGTAGAAGGATCCGCAGACTGTCCTGTGTGAGGCTGGTGACTTTCTCCAGCGACTTGCAGGTCCAGGCGCGGAGCCGAGGGGACATTGAACACGGTTGAGACTTGAGAGCCTCCGGGAAGGAGGGCTTGCAGGCTGGGCCAGGAGGGAAGTGAGGGCACCAGGAGCTGGTGGGAAATAGTGGGGTAACTGGATTGGAGGTACCATGAGGTTGTAACTTCTAGAATGTGGGTGCTGGAATTAGGGGAAACGGAGGAACTGGCAGACGGGCAGTAATTCCCATGGAGGGGACCAGGCGGGAGGAGATCTGGCTGGTCTCCTCACCCACCGTGGCCTTGGGTCTCTGTTTTCTACAAAATGACGAGGGGTGATATCACAGCGCCCATCCCTCAGGGCTGGTTTGAACAAGCTTCACAAGGAGAGTTTGCGGTTTTTCTGAGTTCCTGCTGTCATTGTATTTCCAGATCTGTTCACAAGTGCCCACAAAGACTGCCCCATGCCCCAGGGCACCGGCCCCCTGAACCCAGACTTGCCCTCCAGCCACCCCTCCGCTGTTGTTACAGACCATGTCACTGGCAAGGTAACTGGTCACCTTTCGTCCCCACCTAGGCCCTGGTTCCCTGGGGGTCCCCTACAGCTTCCCGCAGGGAGCCGAACCCTCTCCAATCTTCCCTTCCTGTGGGATCGGAGCCCCGCAGTGTTTGGTATTCAGTTGGATGCAGGTCTGAGTCAGGCTGGGGCAGCCAGGACCTGGACCAGGCTTGTTTAGAAAAGAGTCCCATCTTGGAGATTTTCCCACCCAGACTAACTCAGCCTTGCAGATAACAAGTCCCGCCGCCCCCAGCCACCACCCCTCAGCAGCCTGCATTGCCCTCTGGAGAGTAGAGTGCCATTCTTTTTTTTTTTTTTTTTTTAAGTGTATTTATTTAAGCAATCTCTACACCCAACGTGGGGCTTGAACTCACAACCCTGAGATCAAGAGTTGGGTGCTCTATCGACTGAGCCAGCCAAGCATCCCCAAGGAATGGCATTTTTAGTCCGGATGCATTAGGAAGAGCTTGCTGGGGGCCTTACATCTTGGTACATAATTTCCGCCCCCACCCCAGAGGTCGTGGCTTGAACCTACCTGTCGATACAATTATTATTATTATTATTATATATATATATATATTTTAGCACACACACATGCTAAGTGTCACGCTGGACCCTTTGCATCATGTCACTTGCTTCATGATGACCCGTGAGGTAAATGGTATCATCAACATTTTCGAGAGGAAGACACTGACGTTCTGAGATGTTAAGGCACTCGTCTAAGTGCCATCCCCAGGTGGAAAGCACAGAGTCAAAACTCAAACCCAGGTCCGATTTATCTCCTACACCCACTGCCTCCTGGCAGAGCCACCACTGCCCGGCCCCCACCCCACGTCTTTCTCCGCACGGCAAGGGGAAGCCAGGGCACGACCCCGAGTAGGCAGACCCCGACCTCAGGCAATACCAGAAGGCTGACCCACGCCACCACCCAGGGCCCCAGGCCTGCGCCCTCTGCTGGCGCTGCGTGCCAAGCCCTGCCTGACCCTCTTTCTCCTCTCCTTTTAGGACAAACAGATGGATTTCTGTTGGGATCCTTGGCAGGTCCGTGTGTTTGCCCTTCCCCCGGTCCAGCCAGCCACAGCTGACACCATTGCCCTTCGCTGTGCAGTGCCCAGCCTGGGCACCCAGTCCCGCCGGCCCTGGGGGAGGGGGGCCCGAGGAAAACAGCGGGTTGGGATGGCCCTGTGGGAGTGGGCACAGGGAAGGTGCCTCGTGGGGACGGGAGTGGGGGGGGGCGGGGGTGTCATCTGGCACGTCTCCTTCCGCAGAGGTGCTTCCAGACCACCAACGGCTACCGGTCCGACTCCAGGTCCTGCTCCAGCAACTACAGCGTGGCAGCTCTGGCCACCTCGTCCCTTGTGGGTAGGCCCGACTGCCCTCTCCTACCTTGGAGTTAGCACGCCCCCACCCCCCTCCCCGACACTAGCCATGGGGAGGGCGCAGCCCTGCCACATCCACCATTTTCCAGAAGCCACGCTCCACGCCGGGTTCTGCCTGGAGGGGTGACTTAGCGTCGGGTTAAGTTGTTGAGGTCTCCCGAAGCTGCGAGGGGCCGGCCCCGAGTTTTCAGATCTCTGCAACAGATGCAGGTTGCCCGTCACCCCACCTGTGCGAGTGCTTTGTTGAGGGGTTGTTCTCAAGGGCGGTTTGTAGGAGGGAGGCAGCAGGGTGGGGGGTGGGGGGGAGCTCAGCAAAGCTGGGGCTTGCGGGAGGAGGCGTTCTGAGCCTGTCGCCCGAGGGAACTCACGCCGGAGGCTGGTGGGTATCACTCCCCCTTTGGCCCATTGTTGCCTCTGGGGAGACTCTCCGGCCTCCAGGGCATCTCTGGGTGAGGCCGCTGCCCTCAGCCAAGGGCAAGTCTCCAGGCTGTTCTCAGCTGGCCAGCCTTTTTGCTCACAGGTCTGTTCCATGTACCCGAGGCTCCCGTCTCCCTAAACCCGTCACAGCCCCCCAGAGTGCCCGCCCTGCCCTCCCTCCCATTTGCCTGGACCGTTTCCCACTGGAAACCCCCTTCCTCTGCCTCACCTGCCCTGCAGGGGCCACTCAAACCTCCTCCGAGGACCTTTGCTGGCTGCCTGCGCATCTAGCTTGGGGCGGGGGGCTTCTCCCTCTTCCTCGCCTCCGTCCTTCCCATTTCCTGTTCTATGGCTCTGGTGGTCCTTGGTGGATACCCCGTCTTGCTTAAATATTGCTGTTCCTTGCGCCGTGGCTCTGAGATCCCAGTGACTGTGCTCGGCCTCGGTTCAGAGAGACGCTGAATCATTCCTGACAGCGCTTTCTGTCAACTTCCGCACGCAGCCGGTCTACCCCTGAGAACCCCTGGGCCGGCGTCCCCGCTGCCCAGGCCCTGTCCTGTCTCTCGCTGGATCCCTTTAATGGTACCTGATGGGGCCTCATCTCCACCCTTGGGCCCATCCCCTAATTAGGACGCTGTTCCTAAACAACAGATCTAACCTCAGCAGCCACTCTCCTGCTCCTTACCCTGCTGTGGCTCCCCACTGCTAGAAGGAAAATGCCAGAGTCTTTAGTCTGGCTCTCCCAGCCCCAAGTCTAGCCCCTGGTGGGCTCCCCAGCGTCTTCCACCCCAGTCCTAGTTACCCCCACTTCTCATCCCTGGGAGTCCTGGAATGATGCCAGATTCTTCCATGCCTTCCTCCTCGTCTCATCTCTGAAATAGCCTCCAGTCTTGCCTTCATCTGTCCAATGCACCTACAAACCTACCAACCTACCTGTAAAGCTCAACCTCAGTCCACCTCTTCCAGGAAGCCTTCCTGGTATGCCGCCTCCCACACAGGTCTCCCCTGACACACAGCGTCAGCAGAGCCGGCACTGGCCTTGGCAAAGGGGGTGCTCTCTCAGCACTTATCAAGTAATGGATAAAGGGAGAGGGCCAGGTGGATCCCGAGTGGATCTTTGGGGCAGAGGGGTCTGAACCTGGTCAAAGGGAATGAGGTGTGGCAGGCCTGGGGAGGAAGCACCAAGTGGAGGGGAACATTGCCTGAGAGCGGCTGCTGGGGGGTATGGAACCTCCACATGAGTCGGGAGCAGCTAAGTGAGGTGGGACCTCGGGGCTTGGGGAGGGCGTGGGGCACATAGTGGGCATGGGCAGGGCAGGGAGACTTGCACAGATAGGTACAGGGCTTTGTGGGTAGGGGGCTTTGAGGACGCAGGGTACTGAGTGAGCACAGAGCATTGATGGATGGGAGGGTACAGGCCACTGGGAGTGGCTGGGGTGGGGGGGGTGGGGCCCTGAGCTGGGTTCTGTGTCCGAGCGGTCACCCAGCTGCCCTCCGTGCCCCCAGGGGTGGTGCAGAGCATCAAGGACCACATCACCAAGCCCACGGCCATGGCGCGTGGCCGCGTGGCCCACCTCATCGAGTGGAAGGGCTGGCGTGCCCAGCGCTCGGGCTGGGAGCCGACCCCCGCCGAGGATGAGCACTACTGCTGCCTTCCGGATGAGCTGCGGGAGGCCCGCTTTGCGGCAGGTCAGCGGTTGGGGGCGGGGAGCATGGGGACAGGACAGTCGGGTCTCTGGTCCTTAGGGGACCGAGGGTCACCACATGGGCATTGTCTAGGCAAGGCAAAAAAAATGCCAGGGGGTGGACAGGGCATTAGGTGGGCGCTCTGATCACCGGGGCCTGGATGGACAGCCCAGCTCGCCGCGGGGGTGCCCGGCGCCCGCGAGTCCTGGCGCCCAGGTCCCGCCCGCACCTCTGCCCTGTCCCTGCTGAGCCGAGCCCCACTGTCCCCCCTCACCCAGGGGTGGCCGAACAGTTTGCTATCACAGAGGCCACACTGAGCGCCTGGTCCTCGCTGGACAACGAGGAGCTTCACCCCGAGAACGGCCCTCAGGACATCGTCCAGCTACAGGGTATGGCCATGCGGGGCGCGGGGCGGGGCGGGGCAGGGCTGGTGGAGCAGAGCAGGGCCTGGGTGCCTGCCCTGCCATCAGATGCACTGTGACCACGGACAAGCCCCCCTTCCCTCAGCCTTGGTTTCTGCATCTGTGGAATGGGGCTGCGGATCCTTGCCCTGCCCGCTGCCCGAGGAGAGCCCTAAGTGTAAAGGAGAGAATAACAGTAATAACGGGGATTAAGTGTGTTGTGCCTTACATGTGTTATTTCACTTAATCCTCACAACACCTCTAAGAAGTAGGCCCTGTTATTATCTCAGGGAAACCGAGGCACCAGAAAACTTGCCCTAGTTTACACAGCTAGAGGCATCAGAGCCAGGATCTGAACCTTAATACCCAGCACAACCAACCACTTTTCTAGAACCCCAGGTCACCCCAGGTTACTGCTTCAACAGGCCTTGGTCCTGGGTGAAGCCTGCATTACCCATTATTTCATTTGATCCTTCCTCTGACGGTGAGGGGAGGGAAGGGCCCGGAGGCCCGGAAAGAACACTGGTTTCAGTGGTTCAATTGTTCGGAAAGAACAATTTTCAGAGCACAGGATTCAGATTCGAGTGCAGACAACAGTCTGTGTTTAACTCCTCTACTCACTCCACCACCCCTGGAACCCCCCAGAGAGAAACTGGCGCTCAGAGAGGTTCCGTGATTTGCCCAAGGTCACACAGCTCAGCAGTGACCAAACACGGCCCCCCACCTTCCCTCACACACCAGGAGAGGGTGAGGAGTGGGGTCCGGGACTCCAGTCCTCATGGCCCCTCCCCCTCCCGTTGGTTTTCCAGACCTGGAGAGTGTCTACCTACAGGACAGTTTTCTGAGCGGCCCCTCGCAGGACGACAGTCTTCTGGCCTTCTCCTCCCCTGGCCTCTCCCCTGATGGCTGGCCGTCGCCCGATGAGCCCCCCGTCACAGCTGCCGACCCCCAGCCCCCCAGCCCGGAACAGCAGCATTGGAGGCCGCTGCCTAGGGGCCCGGGGCCTGAGGGTGGGGCCCACGTGCAGGGCTCCCTCCCCTCGGTGGACAGCATGTCCCTCTCGGAGGAGGAAGATGAGGTGTTCTATAACTGAGGTGGGGGCCAGATGGCTCAGAGCCGCCTCCTACTGTGACCTTGCCTGGGGGGCAGCCCAGGCATTATCAGGACGTTGGGGTCTGGGCTGAGCATCTCCTGACCCCTCAGGGCAGGCAGAGGGTGGGTGCAGCAGGGATGGGGGTCCGAGAACTCCCGTGGACCACTGTGTGCCTCCATGGACCTGCCCCAGCAGTGGGAGCCATAACCCCCTTCTCCCTTCTTTACTCGGCTCAGGTGGGCACCTTCCCCGCAGGGTCTCTGCCATCCGTGAGCTCGAGGGTTCTCAGCAGACTCCAGGGCAAGCTGCCCGGAGGCGCCTGCAGCTGGGCCCCCAGGCAGACAGCCGCAGAAGGGCCTAGGAGACCCACTCGGAGTGGGACCTGGGGACCCTGCCTTGACCCCGGGGCTCAGTCCCTCCCCCTCCCTCTGTGTCCGTGCCCTCTATCCTCCCCCACCTCCCCGCCCCGGGAAGTGGGGCGGCCTCTCTGGTAGCTAAGTGTCTATTTCTCAGCCTCCTTCACAAGAATCTCTGTCACTGGAGGGTCTGTTCCTCCCTCACTCTCTGAACCTGCTCCCTGGTGCCCTTACGCCCTTCCCTGCACCCTCCTCCTGAACCCCTGAAGGTTCTCTGCAGACATTAAAGTGGTGGATTCACCCAGTGAACTTGGCCTGGTCTCTGGGGGAAGGTGTGTCCTCGGGCTCCTGGGGTAAGGGGCTTCTAGAGGGACTTAGGGGAGGGTCCCTGTGCCCCAACACACATACAGGCAGTCCAGCTACTGCCACCCAGCCAGGAGGGGCCCCATGGACGATGCCCAAGGTTCTGCAGAGCCCCCAGGAGCCACGCCCAGGGACACTGCTTTATCAGCCCCGGCTCAGCCAAGGAGGAAGTTGGGGCTGGGGTGAGGGTTCTTCTTATACCTGAGGACAAGCACCATGAGACCTGGCGGGGACCTGCTCTCCTGTTTATTTCCGTGCCAGGAAGGGGGCGCAGGAGGAGCAGTGGGAAGCCAAAGGCCCGGGCCTGTGATGCCCACGTGGCCACCAGGGGGCCCCAAGAGCTCGCTCAGGGCCAGCGCAGCTATGTCACCACCCTTGGAGCTGAGGCAAGGGGGTCTGCAGCTCTGGGAATCAGCTTTATTTTTCTCAGGAGCCTCTGGTTGGGAGTCATACACCCCCCAGAACGCATCTGTGCCCGCCCTTGGTGACAGCCCATACCCATGTCTTCACTGCGAATGGCGAATTTTCTATGAGCACCCACAGTCCACTGCTTTTCTGCAGTCTCCAGTTCAGCTCTGTCCAGGGTGAACTTGTCTTTTAAGGCACATAGTGCTTGTGGCACCCAGGACGGATCATGGTGAACAGGGAACCCCCTTCGGCGCTAGGTTAGAGCTGCCCGCTACACCGAGGAGTTGAGCGGGGCTGCAGGCGTGTTGTGATGGGGGAGAGAGGCAGGGTCCCTGGCCAGCCCCCTTCACCAGGGCAGCTGAGGCGCTCTGTTTCCTCTGGCCAGGCTGGCTCACTTTGGTGCTGGCGGGTTTGTCAGGTTAGAAATTGCTTTCTTCAACTAGAACAGAGAAAGAGGGTTTGGGGGGAGGGAGGATGTAGAAGAGGCTGAGAGTGGGGGTTCCAGTATTATCGGACTCTACTCAGGGTTGATTCTGGGGTGAGTGTTGAAGCCAGTGCCCTGCCCCCTCCACTACTGCACAGATGGGATTATTTAGGTTCACAGAATGGCAGGATGGGCCACTGGCCACAAAACTGGCTAGCCACTCTGGGCCAAAAAGTAGGGCTTATCAGAATCCAGTAAGGCCCCTCTAAATTTGGGTGGGAGGATGCTGGTGCTCCCCTTGCCTCCCCGGCCTGCTGGAGCGTAGCTCCTCCGCCTTGCTCCACCCCTGGGACCCTCGTACCTCCACCCAAGACACGGAGCCTACAGCTCTACCCCGAGATGTCACAGGGAGGGACTGAAGGTTCAACAGCTCGAAGAGGTTGTGTGCCTGGAGGAGGGGTTGTTAGGAGACATTGGAGGACATGTGCTGCTCAGCCGGCCTCTCTAGCTTCAATCTCTCCCTGGCCTGGGGGCTGTGAGCTGAGGTGGAGGCCCTGGCCTGGGCTCTGTCCCCGGGGTGCCCACCTGCCTGTCTCTGAGCCTGGGAAGGGGTGGGGGGGACCCGTAGTGGTGGGTGGGAGACAGGACGTGGGGCCTGCAATGCCCATCATGACCACCAGAGGTCTCCAGAGTCCACACAAGGGACCAATGGCAAGGACCCGTTAATTTAGCCGGACCCTGCATCATCCAGTGGCACAGAGGGGCTGAGGCCAGCCCCAGGCCCCCGACCCCATGTGCCAGGCTCTGTGTTGCAGAGTGACACTGGATCAGAATTCAGAGTGGTTCAGTAATTTGCCCAAGGTCACACGAGGAGAATATGGTAGACCTGAAACTGAGACCCCTCTGTGCCTTGATGCAAAGACATATTTTTAACTACTGTCTCTCTCCACCCAGAGGCCTCTGCTCCCCCAAGCTCTCCCTCTTCCCAGGAGCCCTAGGAATAAAGAACGGACAGGACAAGGACTGCTGTGTCCATTCTGCAGATGAGGAAGCAGACCCAAGAGAAGCAGAGTGTGCCAAGAAAGCGGGAGCTTAAGTTCCCCTCCTGGGCTCTTTCCCTCTATCCCACAGCCCTTGTCTGCCCGCATGCCTGCACGCCCTGCCCCTCCCCACTACCTCTGGCTACCTGGTGCAGGGAGGTCTCTGGAGACAGCTGCAGGGTCACTGGCTCCACGGGACAGCCCCCAGCCAAGATGTCCTGCAGACACTGCTGGGGATGGGGAAAGGATCATGGGAGCCTGGGCCAGCCGCCCCCTCCTCCAGGCTGGGCCCCTCAAGCCACCTTTCCCAGAGGCCCCTCCCCTCACTACCCTGTGACCGCTCCCCATCCTGTACTCACCTGGTGTCCTGGAGCCCAGGAAGGTGGCTCGGCCTGGAGGGCCTGCACCAGGTGGGCTCTTTCCACGGTGCCCACCAGTATCTGAGACTCTGCACGCGTGGAGGGAGAGAGCCGCATTAGGAAGAGGAAACTTACATCTGCCAGGCACTTACTATGTGCCAAGAACTGTACTGGCTGTTCTCGTGACTCTCGGGAACCTGAGGCAGCCTGCGTGTCAGCAAGTCTTATCTCTTATTTTACAGAAGAGGAAGCTGAGGCTCAGAGGCACAGAGAGGTTGATTGTCTTGCCCAACGTCACTCAGCTTCTGATGTAGAGGGATGGTAGTTGAGGGAGCTGGGTAAGGTAAGGCTGCCAGGGGGCCGGGAGCTTACCTGCCCTCCCTTATGTGTCCCTGTGGCAGGGCCTCTAGGCAGGAGCAGACTGGGGAGAAATGCATGATGTCTGTGCAGCAGGGCTGGGCTTTGCCCCTCATTTCCCACAGGGACTTTCACATCTGGCTCAGCCCGGTGAGAAATGTGAACCCGGAAAGCCACCATGTTCTGAGGTCCTACTGTGTGCTGAGGGCTTGGCAAGCCTCACTCCGGGCTATGACCGGAGCTGGCATGGACTCCATTTTTTGTTTTTTGTTTTTTTAATGTTTTATTTATTTCTGAGAGAGCTAGTGAGCATGAGCAGGGGAGGGGCAGAGAGAGAGGGAGATACAGAATCTGAAACAGGCTCTAGGCTCTGAGCTGGCTGTCAGCACAGAGCCCGACGCGGGGCTCGAACCCAGGAACCTTAACCGACGGGGAGCCACCCAGGCGCCCCCTGGACTTGGTTTTGAGGGGACAGCCCTGGTGTGCTTCCTTCTTGTCACATAAAATTAAAACTTCACAACTAGACGTGTAAATACTCTCCCTTTAAGCAACAACAACAATAACAATTAAAGTTTATCTTTTAGGCAAGCGGCAGGGTCCCCCAGCCTGGGCCCCTGCTGGTTGAGAGCTCTGCTTCCTGTGGCTCTGAGGGTAAAAGTAGACTTTGTCTTGGAGGCCAGTTCTGTCTTTGTTCCAGGAGGTGAAGCCTCCTGGGGGATCCATACGTATGCAAATATTTTCAAATGGAATATTTGGTGTATTCTGTGGGATAATGTTAAAGGTATCCCGCTTTGAGTGAGGAGGGGGCCTGGCATTTAGGGTGAGCGCCTCTGACAGCTCCATATTGTATGGGTCCCTGTTTTCCAGGGAGGGAAACAGCAATTCATAGATCTTAAGGGGTTTGCCCAGGATTCTGTTGCTCATAAATGGCTTTATGAGCTCTTGGGGTGGGTATGAGGGTGACCCAACCAGTTGTGAAGGTGGCTCACTGAACAAGGCACCTGCTGAAAGGATGAGTGGGAATCAAACTCCAGCTGTGCTGTGCTTGCCAAGGGTGTACCTTGTCTTGTTTGCACATGTGGGCTGACAGCGGCCTGAATGGACATAGCTGCCTCCCCCCGCCCCCCATCCCCGCATGTCTTTCCCACTCTTACTGTACTTGCCCCAGAGGGAGATGATGCTTAGCTGGATTCTTCCCCAAGATTCAGCTTGTGTGTCTTTTAACAAAGGCGCCCATCCATTTTCTTTAAAGAGATCTCTTTCTCATGGCAACAGGGTTTCAAGAGAGGTGACTTAGCTGGGGAATGCTTGAAGGGGGGACCCTCGTAGTGTTCCCAACATTTTATCCCCACTCCCAAGCACACGAGGCCTGGTTTCTAAAATTCCTAAAGGCATCCGTGGAGTCCCTGACAATCTTGCGTCTCATGTAAACATGTCACCTACCCCCAAGGGAGGGCGGTTACTATCTCCATTTTACCAGTGAGGAAACAGGCTCAGAGAGGTCACGTGACCCACCTAAGGTCACACAGTTGCAGACAGAAGATGCAGAGTCAGGTGTCTGACAGGTCCAATGCCCTGCTTTCCCTCTGCTGGAGGTACCCATTATGGTACCTCCAGTTTAGTTCTTCTTTTTCAAGTCTGCCTTTGCTACTTGGAGTCTTTTTGCTTCCATATAAATTTCAGAATTATTTCTCCTAGTTCTGAGAAAAAAATGCTACTGGTATTTTGAGAGGGATTGCATTAAATTTGTAGATTGCTTTGAGTAGAATGGACATCTTAATAATATTTGTTCTCCCAACCCATAAGCATGGAATATCTTTTCATTTGTTTATGTAATCTTCAATGTTTTCATCAATGTTTTATAGTTTTCAGGGCTGAAGAGAAAGGCAGAGGGAATGTGCCCTCCCCACCCATGCTTCCCCCCTTCCTGCCAGGCACCTGTGCTTTCCACCAGGAGGTACTTGGCTATGTCTGTGGAGGTCACGACCTTGACCACTTCCTCCAGCGGTGTGTCCTTGGCCAGTGTGGTGATGGTACAGTTCATGAAGTGCTCCACAATCACCCGGTGAGAGCTGAAGGCAGAGGGTGCTCCCTTCAGGTCCTGGAGTGGAGGGGTATCCAGACCCCAGCAAGAGGCAGGGGTACCTGAGGGGAGCTGCTTCTTGGCCGCGGGCAGGCGCTGAGAGATTCCTAGGATGAGCAACTCCCAGAACCCCAAGGTGGGAAGGAACTCGGGGCCCAGCTCACCTACGGCCTGACTCTGGATTCCTAGCTCCCAAACCCCTTATTTCCACCCACCCCCCAGACTGTCGCAGTTTGTGTTTTACTCAGAAGCCTCCCTGGAAAATTTCATTTGAA